ACAAAAGGAGGGAGGGGTAAATTGTGTGTTTAAAAAAGCTTGCATTTGAAAAACTTTTAGGATTAAAATCAAAGTTTAAAAACATTTTAGAGTTATGCAGCAAAAAACAAAATCGTAGAAGATAAAGTGCAGAAATATGAGTTAAGGGAAAGAGAGGAACAACAAGAATTATACAAGTCCAATCTTGTCCCAAAGAGTTGATCTTGATAGTATCTAATAAAATTAAGAGATTTTAGTAGGTTGAACTCTCAAACCCCCTTATACAAGGAAAATTAATTTTGTAGTTAACTTCCAACCGAACAACAAAGCATGGAGTGGAGTAGTGAGTCTTCTTTCTAAATGATGGATTGAAGTGGTTAGTCTTCTTTCCAAAAGAAACTTGGAGTGGTTAGTGTTCAAGCTTGAAATAAATCTTTAGCGATTTTAACACTTGGTTGAGCTCGTGAACCTAAACTTGGATTTATATCAGGCTAACCAAATACTTGTGATATTTTACCACCAGGTTGATCTCGAACCGAAACAAGATTTTATCATAGACTGAGCTTTAACTGAAACTTGGTTTTTATAATGGGCTAACCAAGAACCTATGAGATTTTATCGCGGGCTAATCTCAAACATTGAAAGCTTTTGTACAGGCTGAACTTTTGAACCTAAATGGAGACTTAATAACACAATCCTCAAACCAAGGTTTTTTACAAGTTTAGTTTTGAACCCAAACAAACCATCCCTAAATGGATAAAATTTTCAACCAAGGTGAAAACGAAAAAAATCCTTGGTGAACTTACAAAACTATCCTTCTAGAATTGCAGTTTCCTTACTCGTAACATGACTTTCTCAATAAAGCATTATGGCTAAACTTTTAGTAAGAAAAAGTAAACAAAAATAATTTTTAGAGAGAGAGAGAGAGAGAGAGAGAGAGAGAGAGAGAGAAGTGAGAAATGAAATAATGTCTATGGATCATGAAAATATGTGGCAAGGATCTCTATTTATAGGCTAGAGGTTGACACAAAAAAGAAAAATTTTTAAGGCCAATTTATGATTGGCCAATCGATTGAAATCATGCACCAATTAATTGATAGGCCTAAATTAATCGATTACTTGGCTCAAAAAGGAAAGGAAAGATATTTAGTCTTTGTCCATCATTAAAGCTCTATCCTAATCACTTGGGCGCATTTTTGAACTGATCTAGTCGATTGGAAAAGACAAAATTTCCCCAGAGCTTTTCTCACAGTTCCTAACTCATCTGGAAAGACTTCATGGTATTTTTGAAAATATTTTCTTGAGAAAATAGGTTTTAAGACTTGTTTGTGTGTGTGATTTAGCCATGCACTTTTATGAAAAACCTTTATGTTTTTACAATATATCCACTAAGATGTATCAAGGCATGCTTTCATATATTTAAAGACTTATCAAATGCTTCATTTGTATAGAAACTTGCTTGAGTTTACTTTGAGGTGAGACTTGAGTTATATTCCATTTGGTTGTCATCATCAGAGAGTCAAGTCCAGTCAATCAAACCCTAATAATTTGGTTTGCATCTTTAACCACTTTAAACTTGACTTTAGTTGTTATTTATTACATGCTAGTTGTCATCATTAAGCACCAATTGTCATCGTCAAAATTAGTTTTCCTTATTAAGGACATATCACCTATAAGTAACCTACAAAATAATGTTCCACATTGTCCCCGTTTTTGATGATGACAACACATCTCTCAGGAAGGTGAAAAAGAAACAAGTATTTGTTTTGGAGTAATTATACTCCCCCTTAATTAGAGTAAATTTCTCCCATTTTGTCGAAATAAAAAGGTGGGTAAAGATGCAATGCGATAATTTAAATATGTAAACATTGGAAATTAAACATTTAGGAAAGAAAAAACATTATTTTATTCATTAATGTAAATTGCTGGGAGTTGCAAGTACAAGATGGGAAATTTCAAGAAAAGAAAATAAGCAACATAAGCAACTAAGAAACAATTATTTCATCTCATCATTATCATTATCCCCGCTTGAAACTATTGGAGAAATGAGGTTTCATCTCTCCATTCTTTCAATGAGCTTGTTAATTTTTGAATTCATTATTTGTTTTGCTCATCACAAATATCGTTAAGGATGATTGAGGAGGGTGGAGGAAGGCCATTGCTTCTTCGCTGCCTTTCTCTTTTTGGCAGTAGTGGAATGAGTTCTCTTCCTTGAATGACATATCCCATTTTTCTTACAACCGCTTTCCCTATCTTTATATGCATGAATTCAGTTCTTCTTCTCCGAAATCATAGTCGGTGTAGGTAAAAAAATTATGATGAGTTCTGCTTTGGGTAGAATGACGTTCTTTCTTGTTCTATCTAGTACGTGGTGAATGTCGTACCTCGAAAAATACGATCCTCGCGATGGCCGCGGAAAAATACTGTTCGAAGCAGAGTCGCCACCGAACTTTATTCATTCCAAGGATGGAATAGGAAAATATCGATAAAACCTTAAAAGGGATAAGAACATGGTCATCGCAACCAATATTCTAGGTTCGGGAGTCGATTACATAGAGGGAAGGTATTAGCACCCTCTACGTCCGCTGTACTCAACGGGAACCTCTTGATCAATTCGCGAGAGAAGCTAGCTATGTTTGTGTATCTTCTAAAGGGATTGCTTGCTAATGGGAAAAGGGGGGTGATTATTTAGATAGGGTGCTCGCCGAGGATTGGGACCCTTGTGCCTACGTATCTTCACTTGTAAGATGTGGAAAATCAGAGCATTCGTAGTTCGTGGGACTACAGGTAAAGAGGGGATTATGCTCGCTAGGATTATCGCAATCTTATGCCTACGTACTCTCAACAGATATGAGAGATCAGAGCAGCCGTAGTTCGGCTTACAGTTAAAAAGGTTTGCAAACGAACGAGTGTTTAGGTCGCATTCTAACTGCTAAACGTTGGCTTGTCTGCTCGCTAGGGGAGGCTGAAGCACTAGTTTGTTATGCGCGGAAGAAGGGACTAAACAATGTTCTTGGTAAGATTTGTTTAAGTTATGGATCGTGCGAGGGCGAGGAATAGAGTTTGATTAGTTAAGTATTTGGTTTATAAGAGAGGATATATTCGATAGGTTTTAGGGTTTCGATCGCACGGGGGTGAGGAAACGAGGTTTGATGTATTGGATGTTTAGCTGGAGGTGACGATTACCTTAAGGTTAAGAAAGACTTCTCGGACCCAAGTAATTGGGAGAGTGAACCAAAGACTTGGAACTTTCTCTTTTTCAACCTCAATTGCAAAAGGATAAGATGTGGTTTGAATGGGTTAATCGGATGACGATTACTCGAAGCTCGAGAAAGACTCCTCGGTCCCTAAGTAATCGGGAGAGTGAACCAAAGACCTGGAGCTCTCTCTTTTTCATCTAAGTGTTAATAGAATTGGGTATGAGTGAGTGAATCGGATGACGATTACTCGAAGCTTGAGAAAGACTTCTCGGGCCCAAGTAATCGGGAAAGCGAACCAAAGACTTGGAACACTTTCTTTTTCATCGCAAAAGGAATTGTTTGAATGGCACTCGAAAGGTAGCATGGAATTAAAGTATTTTAACAGATGAGGATTAATCGAAGCTTAAGAAAGACTTTTCGAACCTCACATAATCGGAAGAGTGAACCAAAGACTTGGAGCTCTCTCCTTTTCTCATCTAATATATAAAAGATATTTAATATGATTAGAGTGTATTAATCGGATGACGATTGTTCAAAGCTCAAGAAAGACTTCTTGAATTTTAAATAATCGGGAAAGCAAGCCAAAGACTTGGAACACTCTCTTTTCATCCTGGGTGCTTAGAAAAGGTTTGAATAAACTTATCGGCTTTAAAAGGGTTTTTTAGAAGAAAATTGCTCGGGCTTAAGAAAGACTCCTCAGACCCAAACAATTGGGAGAGAGACCCAAAGACTTGGGACTCTCTCTTTTTCATCTAATATTAAAAATTGTGTTTAAATAGTTATTAAGTATTTTAGTTTGATTTAAATAAAATTGTTTGATATGAATCAAGGTTTGAATTTTACGTGTGGACAATTTAAGGGTTTTCAGGAAAACAATTGTTTAAGTATGAAGAAGACTCCTCACACTTAAACAATCGGACAAGTGAACTGAGAGAGAGAATAGAAGACTCTAAACTCTCTTTCAATCAAATAACTTTGAAGATGATTTGAGAAAATGCTTGAGATTTAAATTTGCGTTTTAACGTGTGCACTAGCAAAGTGGGCTAGTCTTCTAAGTGACCAATTAGAAATAATTGATCAAATAGGTATCACTGTAAGGAAGCCCAGGATTAAGCTTTAAAATATTGTGTATTGTGATCAAAGGTTGGTGGCGAGGCTTTGAAAGCACTCGACTTACAAGGGTGTAAAATGGCTCGATAAATCGAGAATTTATTTTTAAAAGGGTTTTAAAGTATTAAAGCATAAATAAAAATGATAAGAATATTACATTTTGGGAGTTGGGGTACATTTGTCGAATGGGGATAAAATAAAATAAATGAATTGAGTTTCAGAATCCTTCACTCTTGGTCCGATTTTATTTAACAAACTCAAATAGTTAAAGTTTATAAAACCACTTAATTAAATTAATCCAACTCAATTATCCACATTATTCGATTAAAAGTTAATGTAATCAAATAACTAAATTAATTCATATTGACTAATGAAGTTAAATGATTGGGATTTGATTAATTGATTAATCATGTTAATTAAAATTTATTAACAAAACTATTCAATTAAGTCAAATAATTATGTTAATTAAAATTGGTTAACAAGATTAGATTATTAAACCAAATTCGAAATTATTTCCCTTTTTTTATTTAAAGAACTTTATATTTCACAGAATTATTCTAACAATGACACCAAACATAAAAACAAATTAAAAGAAAGTTTGAGTTGGACCTTGTTGGAAACAGAAAAGCAGTAGGTTGAAAAGTCGTGATACCGTTGAATTCTAGAGTATTTGGTATCAACTCCCTCAAGCGCTTTTGAGAGAAAACCAAATCAATTAGTTTTCTTCTCTTCTTCCTTTGCTGCAACTGTCTCGGCAGAATCGATAGCCTGTTCATCGTCCCCTCCAAAACCAAATTCGTTAACACGCTTCTTATCCACTGGATAAATCCATCTCTGGTATACATATATAAGAAAGATAAGATCATCACGGAAGACAGAAAGCCGATGTAGTGTAGGCATTTTAATGACGAAGGCAAAAAGATCATCAATGATGGTGTTGAGAAACTTGTAAGTCATCTGCCTCCAAGGTAGATGAGCAACAGATTTGAGCTTGTAGTTGATGAACAATTGAGGGCACATCATAATAAAACCAAACATGTATACACAACTTGTGAGTGATGACAGAATCCAAGAATACCAACTCTTGTGGCGTTCGTACATCAGTGAGTAACCAGCAAAGCCGGCAGAAAGGAGAAATAGAACATAGGTTAAATACTTCATTGCAATATCATCATACTCTTTTGTCTTATTCCCAGCATATGAATCCCGATCTCTGAACCTCAACATAGGTATCCTTCCTGTTCTATCAATCTCTATGTGCATGGCTTTTCCAATTTTCCAGAACTCGATAATCAAACCAACTCCAGAGCTTAGAAGAATCATCCAAGATATGTCGTTGTCAAGCAGATAAAGGAAGATGATGAGCTGAGAAATAAAGCTCACAACAACAGTCTTCGCAAAGAGTCCTTCCATGGACTTATTTTTGTTCCAAAATTGAATGTCATTCTTAAAAGCCAGAAAGTCAAATACTGAATGAAGAAGAGAAACGACCATGGTAACTCCTAGGAGGTAAAGATTTCCTTCCAAGAATACCCTCTTAAGTTCATCAGCCTCGCCTTCAATCATGCTTCCGTAACTACGGTGAACTTGGAAGGACTGATCAACTTGCATGAATAATTGCCACTTCGTCATGCTAATAGGACCAACTTCCAGATTAAGTGTCAGTTCAGTAACTGTCTCATTCAAAGCTATTAACTTATCCCGCAGTAACCAGAAATCATTGAAGTAAATGGTTGGATAGTAGTTCCCAGTGATAGGATCAATGTTCAAGTGTGGAGCAATGTTAGGTGGTATTCCTGTATTCGGGTACTGAGTGAAGTCGGCAATCAAGTTAATTGTTATATTTGGTTTCCAATATGCAAGCCACTCCACTGAACCATCATCTTCAGAATCATCTTCACTATCATCAACAACCTCTGGAGTTACTTGGCCCTCACTTGAATCCGGTACACCTCCCAACAGACTCTTCTTTTTATCTGCTTTTGACTTTGGCGAGTATACCACAACAGGAAGTGTCCTTCCAAATGCTGCTTGAGACTGGTATTCGGGATCACTAGGGTCAGGCGAATATCCAGATTGTGCAAAGAAAACATGAGCATATAGACTCCCATTGTGCTTCAAAGACTCAGTTGGGGGAAAGTTCAAAGTAAGAGTCCTGGTACTCTCAGGTACCCAAACGGCATAGGGAATATTTGTTTCATGCCATACAAGAGCACTTTCACTACCAAATTCATTGAACTTCTCGTTCTCAGTAAGATAAAGCCACATATCCAACGGCTGTCCTTTGTGGAATAGGTTAGAGACGAGAGCGGAAGGTTCTGTAGGTTTCTTAGCAGGAGAAAAGAATTTGGAAGCGAAATACCAGAAAACAACCATACGAATGATTCCGGTGAAACTAAAGCCTCCGCCGCCTTGTTGTCTCCCTTGCGGTGCTGGTGCAGCCCCTCCGCCATCAACTACTGCCGTTGGCGGAGCCATGTTCGGCAGAGAGAGAGCGATGGAATCGAAGATTTGAAACGATACTCCTAAGAAGAAGGTGTTGTTGTTGTCGGCGAAACTGTTTTGTTGCTGGCTTATGGTTATCGAATTTCTGCTCTGTTTTCATTGAATACATAGAGTTGCTGATAACCCATTCATTCTTCTCGCTCACTCTATCTCCATCCTTCCCAACTTGTAATCTCGAAGTAAATCGAGCTAGCTGGTACAAGATGCAATTCAGAATCCAAGCCGTAGCTCACGCACTTTGTCGGCATCGAACATGTCGCAATCAACTTGTAGGTAGATGATTAGAGTTGTTGATGTTGTTGTTGGGGTATGTTGTTGACATGAACCGAGTCGGTTTTAACTTCCGAATCTCGAATCTATAACCTGCATACATCAAAGAAAAACAGAAAAGAAAACGGCTCCGGTGTTTGTGGTGCTGCCAGCAATTAATTGAAACCACACACACAAAATATGACATGAAAAAAAAATACCCAACTTCAGACCAGTATTGACAAATTAATCACGGCGGTAGGACAGCCACATAACTTTACCCACAGATGCATAGCATAATCCATAATTTATTTGTTTTGCGTAATGGCGTAAACACTATCACGAGTCGCGTATACATAACCTTAGTGATATCCGCATATGCACACTGCCAAGGGTTAGTGCAACAAAAAAACAACATTTATGAAATATGATATCAGTCGCTATATAACAAATGACTCGAAAATGCTACGCTATAGAAACCATCATGCAGAAACAGAAACCAAACTGGTCGTTCTTAATCATGTGCGGCTGACTTCATGTCCTAACAGAACCATAACTCAATATCACAGCACAACAATTTATTACTCACAGGATATAAACATGGAAGGATATGAACATGGAATTTGTGAGTTTTTAGAACCAGCAACAAAATTATAGCAACAACATCCCTATGTGAAGTTTCCATAACATGATTGAAATCAAACTCAAACCAAATATGGATGTGAACATAAATGCACCGGCAACCACCTCTGTGCCATTTGCATAACAAAACAGAGTTAGCCTAAAAAACATAGTAGTTCTAGAATTACCGACACGCAATCGATCCAAATTGACCTCAAAAAGCAGCAACGGCAACAGGAGCATGCAGGCTATCTGTTTGGATGATCTTAATAGCTTACGGAGTCGTTGCCGAAGTTGTTGAGTTGAAAAGTTGTTGAACTGGTGTAACTTTGTATTCGACTCAACTCTTGAATACTCGTGCTTCCAGCTGCAAGCATACGGCCATCCGACGAGATGATAGCGCAGTCGGAACTAGCTCAGCTTTACAATCGCTTCCGCAACACATAAACCTTGTGGGCGTGTCTTGATCCAAGATTCGAGATCCCGCAGCTCCTCGTTGTTTATGGAGTGGGCAAGACCAGGATAAGCCTTAAACTCACAACTGATGCCAAGTTTTGCTGCGAACCTGAGTTGTTGCTATGTTGAGCTATCATTGGCGCTGGAAATGTCGCAAATGGCGGCGTCATACAGTTTGTGTCATCATTCTGTCTTGAGATGGACATCATTGTTGACCATGGTTCGCCACAGCTTGTTGTCCCTTTCTCACTAACATAGATACCATCAAGGAACTTACGGATATCTTTCTTCTTAACATGGCATTTCTGGTTAATAAGTGCACAAGATCTGGAAACAAGTTCAATGTCATTTCCATCCCAAACCAACTCATCCTTGACCTTTTCAGATCGAACAACAATAACTCCTTCAAGGAGATCCACTTTCCTCACCTTCTTTTCGCCGAGGAAGTTACGAGTCTCGATAGTAGTATTACTGTTAGCGATACTGGCATTAATCGGAAAATGAGCATACACAAATCGCATCTTGTAACGATACCCCTTAGTAACACCAGTGACCAAATTATCCACATGACTAAGAGCAGTGCGAATAGCAGCCGAGGTTTTCCTAGATCCAAACCAAGCTTCAACCTTCAACTTCCTCTTCCCATTTTCATCAGTAATGAGCTGAAAGTCGAGATTCAAATGCTTGAAATCACGAACCAGTTTCCCACGTGGACCTTCAACCTCGATGAGTTTCGCGTGCACCTTGATGCTAACCCCTTAGGGGATGTCCATCGTTTCGGAGGAGAGAATGGTTTTCATCTTGTTCTCTCTCGCCGGCGGACACGCGCTGTGGAAATTCTGTGTGGCGGAGAAAGGTTTTAGGGTTTCTTCAGATTGGGGGTGGCGGCGGATAGGTTTTGGAGTGAATTGGGGATTATGATGAAGGGTTCGGTGGCTAGGTCTGCCCTCCAAACTTTGGGATCCAATGAACAGTGTTTTTTTTGTGAACAGTGAAATGCCCTATTTTATACTAATTCTAAACCCTAATTGCCAATTGCTACCGTGTTTTCAATCTTTTTCAATTTTTATTATTTTTCCTTTTTCTTTTATAATTAATTAATTAATATAATTCTAAATGGATTTCTAATAAATAAATAAAAATCTATCAATAATTCAAAATTAACTATTTAAATCTCTAATTTAATCAATTAATAAAAATAACAAAACTACTTATATTTTTTAAATGAAATTCTAATTTAATTAATAAAAATAAATAAAAAAAAGTCTAATCCTATTTCTAATTAAAAACCTATTCTAATTTTAATTATTTTTAAATTAAAACTTTATTCTAGTTAATTAATATTACAAATATATCACATTATTTAAAATAAAAACAAAACGATTAATAAGTAAAAATGCCACGTGGCATACTCTTATTGGGCTAAAAAAAGCGAAAATGCCTGCTTTTGCTGAAAAATACGCTACGCTGTATAAGCGAGGTAAATTAAAAACAAAGTCGGGCAAATGAGAAATTTTCGAAAAGGTAGGACAAATTTGGGGTATGACAGATGCCCCTATCTAATTGTCTTGAACCTGAGAGAATGAACAGTTGTATGGCGTTCATTTTGAGGTGGAAGTCAATTAGATACAAGAAGACCCCGAAATTTGTCCGACAGACAAGTAAAATGCAGAGAGATAAGATGTACCTGAATGGGATGACAAGATGCAAAATAGATGAACGAGATAACCTGATATTCTCTGGGTGGTCGAAGCATTCCCTCATTCGTTAAGGTCCTTCGATAATACCGAAGTGGTATAAACAATCCTCCTTGGGTGGTCGAAGCGGCCCCTCATTCGTTAAGGTCCTTCGATGATACCAAAGTGGTATAAACAATCCTCCTTGGGTGGTCGAAGCGTCCCCTCATTCGTTAAGGTCCTCCGATGATACCAAAGTGGTATAAACAATCCTCCTTGGGTGGTCGAAGCGGCCCCTCATTCGTTAAGGTCCTCCGATGATACCAAAGTGGTATAAACAATCCTCCTTGGGTGGTCGAAGCGGCCCCTCATTCGTTAAGGTCCTTCGATGATACCAAAGTGGTATAAACAATCCTCCTTGGGTGGTCGAAGCGGCCCCTCATTCGTTAAGGTCCTTCGATGATACCAAAGTGGTATAAACAATCCTCCTTGGGTGGTCGAAGCGGCCCCTCATTCGTTAAGGTCCTTCGATGATACCAAAGTGGTATAAACAATCCTCCTTGGGTGGTCGAAGCGGCCCCTCATTCGTTAAGGTCCTTCGATGATACCAAAGCGGTATCTCTGATAACAACTTGAGATTCTTCGGGTGGTCGAAGCAGCCTCTTATCCAATAAGATTCTTCGATGATACCAAAGCAGTATCTCTGAACACAACTTGAGATTCTTCGGATGGTCGAAGCAGCCTCTTATCCAATAAGATTCTTCGATGATACCAAAGCAGTATCTCTGACAACAACTTGAGATTCTTCGGGTGATCGAAGCAGCCTCTTATCCAATAAGATTCTTCGATGATACCAAAGCAGTATCTCTGACAATAACTTGAGATTCTTCGGGTGGTCGAAGCAGCCTCTTATCCAATAAGATTCTTCGATGATACCAAAGCAGTATCTCTGAACACAACTTGAGATTCTTCGGGTGGTCGAAGCAGCCTCTTATCCTATAAGATTCTTCAATGATACCAAAGCAGTATCTCTGATCACAACTTGAGATTCTTCGGGTGGTCGAAGCAGCCTCTTATCCAATAAGATTCTTCGATGATACCAAAGCAGTATCTCTGACAACAACTTGAGATTCTTCGGGTGGTCGAAGCAGCCTCTTATCCAATAAGATTCTTCGATGATACCAAAGCAGTATCTCTGACAACAACTTGAGATTCTTCGGGTGGTCGAAGCAGCCTCTTATCCAATAAGATTCTTCGATGATACCAAAGCAGTATCTCTGATCACAACTTGAGATTCTTCGGGTGGTCGAAGCGGTCCCTTATCCCATAAGGTTCTCCGATGATACCAAAGCAGTATCTCTGATCACAACTTGAGATTCTTCGAGTGGTCGAAACAGCCTCTTCCAATAATGTTCTCCGATGATACCAAAGCAGTATCTCAGTGATAAATTTGACGAGGAATAGTTGATCCAAACTTCCCATCACAGGAACAACGTTGTCCGAACTTTGCGGGGGAAAGGTCTTCAAGCAATATTTTAAGAGAACCTTTGCTTGAGGAGTCATAAGAGCAACAGCTGCCGCGATTATCATCATCAACTGCATGGTTGAAGAATGACTTGCTAGGGAGTCAAATTCCTTGAACTTGCGGGGTATGAGGTCTTTTCAGAGAAATACCGTCGACTTTACTGGAGGACTGTCCAAGAAGCTTACGAACTGATCCTGGATCCTGCTATGTTGCTATGCCATGCTAATGGGGATGGCGATGCTATGCGTTATGATGCACAAACATGCAACTAAAAAGTGCCACTACTAGGGAGTGCAAGATGCGAATGCAAATGATATGCTAATGCTCGATATGACTATGATATGATGTGATATTGTATGTCGTGCTTATGATAATGCAAATGATCAGGTATGCTGGGGATAAAATCTTGTCGGGGATATCACCAGGGACGGGATTTGGTAGTTGCC